TCGAAGAACAGAAAAACAAGAAAATATAAGTATTACTTCTGAACCAGATGGAAACTATTTGACCCATCACACACCTTTAAAGGTTCCAAACGAACCAGTTAAAGAAGTTACAATCGGTATTTATAACTGGATGGTTCCTAGAGGAATTGATCCAACTATAGTTGTGATTGGATCAGATTCTACAAATTCAATGATTGGATTTGGTAGCAAAGGCGGATTATTAACTCACCTCGAGAAACTTATTGGAAGAAAATGTTTTTGGTCAATTTGCATGTTACATAACAATGAGCTTAACTCCAAGGATAGATTTAAAGTGCCTATAGGCAAACTATTATCAAAAGTAAATCAATTAAAACGAGAAGTTTGAACCAATTAGACAGATTGAACCTTTGATTAAAATTTCAGATGGCATTTTTCCGGATGTCAACCGACGCTTCACTAAGCTACAAGTTAGTTTCTTGTCTTGAATCAGGTATCTTGAATCCTTCACTTGTCAACAGAAAATGTGATAAACTTTGCCATAGCAGGTGGCTCACAACTGCTCACAATTTCATGCTCATTCTGACTTTCTTCTTATTTCTCTTCTTGCAAGCTCATCAATTGAAAATAGAGCTTTTGCAGTCAAGATGATGATGAAAGTGACATAAGAATAAAATCTAATTCAAAACGCTACATTTTACCTAATTATATATATATATATATATATATATATATATATATATATATATATATATATATATATATATATATATATATATATATATATATATATATATATATATATATATATATATATATATATATATATATATATATATATATATATATATATATATAGTCTACTGACTACTGATGATATTTTGAAAGGCCTCTAGTGCTTAAAGTTTATTTAATCAATTATATAAAAATACTTTGTATTAGTGTATTTTTCGGAAAAATAAAAAAAATATCTTTAGTAATAAATATTTTGAGAAAAAAAGATTTACTTTTGTTTACTGGCTTGACTATCTTTTGCTTTATATATATATATATATATATATATATATATATATATATATATATATATATATATATATATATATATATATATATATATATATATATATATATATATATATGTATATATATAGTCGGGGGAAATTTGTAATAATTGCTGTAATAAGGCTAAAAAAAATTATTAGCCTTATTATTACTATATTAATAAATATTTTAGGAGCAACTCAATATTTCATATAGCAACTCAACAAAAAAACTTAAAAATGTGTAAAATCAAAAACTGTATATACAATTTGTATTTCAAAACACCAATTGGTTTTTTTAAATATGGATGACAGAGTTTTTTAGGTGAAAGTTACAAACCGGCGGAACAGTTTATTAGAGGGCATCAAATAGTGGTTTGCCAATATTCGCAAATGTCGAAAAATGATTGCGTATATCAGGAAATCATTGTTAAGAAATCCTATATGTGACTAACCAGAACTTTAAAATCGATGAATCCGAGTTCGTATTTTCTCCAAAGAGGCACGAAGTCTTGGCGGAGAAAGGCTCTAAAAAGGTGGCAGAAAATTACAAAACAAAAAGGCGATTCCAATGTTACAAAAAAAACGTTTGTGGTTTTTTCCCCCCGATGTACTCAAATTCAATTGCTGAGGTGAAAATTTAAAGTTTATTTAAGAAAGGTGGGTTACAGCCATTTAATCCTGATGGTGTTGATTACAAAAAGTTAGCTTTACAAGAGAAACACGTTGGAAATGCGCGCCTTTTTCAGCGGGTCAATCAAGGTGGCTTGTTGAAGCTTAAGCCCAAGTAGAATCAATACTTTATTTGTATCCGAGAACTAAGAATTAGAGGACTTAGACTAAGCCAGGTGAGAAACCTCCTCAAATAGGTTTTGCTAAAGCACAGGCAACTGAACCACACATAAACAAGTAAAGGATAAGTACATTTTTGTTAACGCAAATAAATCATTGAGACACATTTATTTGTTCTTTAATTAATTTTTGTAACATTTTATATCATTGAATTACTTAAATTTTATTTGTACTATGCTCACTTATTAAGTTTATTAAACCTATGTAAATTTTTTGCCACAGCTAAGCCTATGTAAACCTATCGCCACAGCTAAACGTATTTGAAATATGTATACAAAACTTTAAAAAACTGCAATTACTTTTTATGGGGTTGTCACTGATTTGACGTGCTTAAAACAAGCAAACAAAGTAGTTGGTTTGATTTTGTGTTTGACTAAATTAGGCAGTTGGAGAGATAGACATGAACTAGAACATCCACAAATCCAATTTCTCTCAAGAGACAAACTTCCACTAAGAGATTTTGTTTACAATTATTCTGCTTCTGATAGTTCAACAACGAATATGTCTCCTTCACCTGTGGTAACTTTTGAACAAAAGAGGTTAATTATTAGTCTCACCATGATCAATCACTCAGCATCTGTTGTGGAGCCATATGAAGTTGTATCCATGATGGTGGAAGTAAAAGAAAAAAAATTAGCAGTAGTAATCAAAAAAATGAAATCAAGTTTTAAATCAAGTAGAGAACGAGAAATAATCAAACTGCGTACAAACTTGCTGTCTAATCACCATACTCATTGTACATGCATTTTTGGGTAATTCCCTTCCCCATACCTATGTACTTACTAATTGAAAGACTCCTAACCATTATTTAAAGATGGTGGTATCTCAAAGTTATCTAATTATAGATCTGTTTCAATACACTCATGTTTTTATTAAATTCAATAACGAATAATGCACAATAGGATTTACAACTCATCTTACAACTCACAAAGTTCTAAATAATAATAATCAGTACGGATTTAGAAAAAAATGGCACTTAACAAAACATGCAGTAATTAAATTATTAAAAAGAAATTTTAAATAGGTTTGAAAACAACCTATATACTCTTGGAGTGTTAGTTAACCTCCTAAAAGCCTTTGATACTGTAGACCATAATATTCTTCTCTACAAACTTAAAAGTTATGGAGTCAAAAAGAATAATTTTAAATGATTTGTTTGTAAACAATGTGCAAAGTCTTGTTTTTTTTATTAAAAATATGAAAATTTTTCCAAAAAAAAGGTCTCCGATATTGAATTTGGTATGAGTCAAATTTAAAATGGTTTATTGGAATAAAAAGTTGTTCACTGAAAATTTGCTATCGTATTTATAAGAGATTTCATTAAAGTAAGATTGAAATGTTACTAGAGATAATCTACCTTTTGCTTTAAACATAAATAATATTACTTGATGAACATTAATCTTATAAATGTTTAAAGTTCCAAGTTGACGTATGAGAGGTTCGCAATGTGCATTCCTGTTTGCCCCAAATATTATTCTTGCAAGCAGGTTTTTGTTTGCTATAAATTTTTTTGAGTTTAGTGTGATTAGTTCTACCCCAGACAACGTTACTTAGCGTTAATTCATAGCTATATTAGTTATTGTAATATTGCCTGGGTAAGTACTTATCCGTCAAGACTAACGTGTAAAAAAACAAAACAAAACAAACAAGCAGGCCGCCTTATATTGTATGCTAGTAAATACACCAGTGTCAATCCACTGCTTAGAAAGCTTGGAATGCTGAATGTTTATCAATTAAATATTTTAATATTCTTTTATTCATGTTTAGATTAAAACATCATATACTGCTTAATATTTTAAAGACCTTTTCTTTATTATAGATCACAAACATAAAACAAAGCATTTGTTACTTAATTATCAGTATCCAAAAAATTTATTAAAACAATCCGAATTCTCAATAGCATACCGAGGGCCACATTTGTGGAACTCATTTTGCCCAAATAATAGTAAAACTTCAATTTTAATTTAAACTTTTAAAAGCATCTTAAAAAAAAGTTACTTGATTATGACGTATATCAAATTCTATTTTATTTTTAATTTATTCTCTTTTATTTTTCCACTTTTCCTTTTGTTAAAAAGCGATTACATCATTACTTATTTTTAAACTTTATTTATTATTTTAAGTTGAAATGTATTCAGAGAGAAAAAAAAAAAAAAAAAAAGCCACATTTTTTATTTAAAAGTATTTAGTACTATTTTACTGAAATTGTATTTTTTTTAATATGATAGCTTATTATTTGTTCAATATGCAAATGATAAAACGAGGCTAAATGATAAGACTTTTGTCTTCTGATTGCTCCCGTCACATCTTAACTAAAAAATAGTGTAAATAATTTATGAAGATGATGAAAAGTGAAGAATATAATAGTATAATTATGAAGAATAATAAAAAAAAGATTTAAGATCAAATTCTTGTGAAAAGTAGCGGCAAGTTAATGCACTGAAAGCATCATTTTTTCAGCTAGTCGCTTACCTGTTTTTTCTTCAAAAATTTTCGAAAGCGACAAGGTTTTTTCTTCAAAAATTTTCGAAAGCGACAAGGTTTAATAAGTGATGAATAAATAAGATTTCGTGCTTAAAGAAGATATTTCGGATATTGACTCTGAAAGACATTACTTATATATTTTTATAATTTTTTTTTATAATTCTTTTAACTTTTTACAATTTTTTTTATAATTTTTTTTTTTAAATGATTAAGATTAATAATTTTGAATTTAACTGAAAGTTAAACTGAAAGCTGAATTTCTATTTCGAGTTAAGCACCGAAGTCAAACTTTGCTTTTCAGTAAATATCGTAATCCAAAATTTAACAAATACTCGCCGATTACACCTTACAGCTAAAGTTAAATTTATTTACCTATTATTTTTTATATACTAAAAATAATTCAAATTCTAAAAATTCAAACCTATTTTGAATAAAAAAAGAAACACAAAGTAGTTTTTAGCCGTGCTATTCAATCTAGTCAATTGTCGAGTTGTTTATCAGTTTTTTAGTAAACACTAACATAAAACAATATTTACAACGATAACATTTATTGCTCACAAGAAACTTTAAAAGTTTCTAGTAACGCATGCTCTATCGTAAAAACTTAACTCTTTAACAGACGGACATTAAAAAAAATAAAAAGCATTTTAATTATATTTTTTTATTTTGTTTAAAATGTTAAAAAAGCACTTTCTAAAATAGAAAGAGAGCACCCATAAAATAAATATTTCTAAAACCATGCATCATCAAAGCGATGTTCCCAGACTTTTTGGCAAAAACATTGTAAAAAAATACTTCTATAAGTTTAGCGAACGTTTACTTTTATCAAATTGAGTATGTTGTTCTTTAAGACGAACTTGAAGAGACTCTAGCTTTTGTATATAATGGTTAAGCGAAGTACTTGAATCTCGATTACCACGAGTGTATACATCAGCGAATTCTTTATTAATCGAAATTGTTTGTGGCGAATAAATATTTTTTCCATCATTTCCATCATCTACGTCTCGAACAGGAGGAGAGGCATGTCTGAAAACGAAATCAGATTGCGTAGGGGAAGGCCTTGGATATGATCTAGGCGCATCACTGTAATGCTTTAACCCAGAAGAAGTTCGACTTTGATTCAAAATGCTGCTTTTAATGCTATTTACGCTTACTTCAACAAACCTAGGCGTATTTGAAGCATTACTATCTGAACAGGGACTTGTATTACTTATATTAGAAGGGGATTTTAATAAATTGTTATTTTCAATAGATGATTCTAAGTCATCGGTTGTACTTTGTTTAGGCCTTTCCTCAAGTCTGGTTACACTATATTTGCTCAAAGTGTGATCATGACTGTCAGATTTATAATTTAAACTCTGGCTGGTAATCATTTTTTCATCAGAGCTTGTTTTATTAAAATACTGTTTATCTGAATCGATTGTTACGGGATTAGTTCGAGTGTAGCTGGGTGATGATATAGTGCCTGAATGGCTTACTTTTTCGGGTTTAAATTTTTTATCTAATAATAATTTACTCTGATTGTTATCTTTATGATCGTGTTTTTTTTCTCTTACATCCTTGTATGGGTAATCCGCAGAAGACTTGTAAAGACTACGCTGGTACTTGCGTTTGAGAAACTTCATACGTGCTATAGAAACAATGACAAGAGCTGTAACTTTAAACTTCTTGTATGGAGTCGAACTGTTTTCTCGAACCATTTTACGGACCAAAGATTGATTACTGTTTCCATATTCACTCAACAAAAGTAACAAATAAGTTTTTTGGTAGGACAAAGCTTTTCGAAAACTTTCGGCTCGAAAGTACTTCAAATACAAACGTTGAACCTAAAAAAACAAATTTATTAATATATTAATATAATTTATTAATAAATTATTATATTGTAATTATTAACAAATTTATTAATATAATTTATTAATATAATTTATTAATAAATTATTATATTGTAATTATAACTCAACTCATTATTTAAATTGTTAAACTATTATTGTAAAATGTTACTAGACATTTTGAATTAGAAAAAAAAAAAACTGTAACTAAAAGTAGTTATTATAAATTTTCATAAATTAAAATTAGTCAAGAAACTTTTAAAGTCCCAAATGTGAGTCAAATAACTTTTTAATTTGACTTTAAACTAATTATTTTGGTATCTAATATTATTCCTATAATTTTTTACTCGATTTTTAAATTTATATTTGTTAGTCATAACTAGTCAGGTAATTCACTTAGCAAATTAAGTATTTATATTTGCTAACTCAATTTAGCAAAATCGATTTTTTAAAATCGATAAATTAGCAAATCGATTAGACTTACTTTAGTGCTCAAACAAGCACAACCAGTTGGAATTTATGCTTCAATCTGATTTAAAATTATAATCTAAAGCGAACTAAAAGATCTAACTATATCTTAATGCAATACTGGGATAAAAGAATATTTATTCTGAGATCTAAAAAAAATTTAGATCTAATAAATTGTGCCTGAAATGTACACCAGCCTTTTTTTAAACGTTTATCACCATAAATATACTCAAAAACTTAATAATGTACGTTTGTACATTTAATTTTCCAGTTCAAAATCATTTAAAGATATGATTAAGTAGTTACAAAAAATTCAGAAGAAAAAAAACACAAAAGATGTATTTATTAGATAAACAATAGAACATAAAGAATACATGCCAGTGAACATCAATAGAACATAAAGATGCAAATTTATATTTTTTATAGTGAAAAAAAACTTGCCTGTAAAAAATTATACATAATATATATATATATATATATATATATATATATATATATATATATATATATATATATATATATATATATATATATATATATATATATATATATATATAAATGGATAAATTTACCTTGGCAATCGTCCAACCTGCATTTAGCAACTTTAGTCCGTCTCCAGCAACCTCAAGAGGAGCAGAAGCAAGCCTCTCTTTTAAAATTGTGATTTCATCTTGAAGTTTATTATTTTCAATTAAATGCATTTGATTATTCTCATCAGTGGTTTTTTGAAGAAAAAACATTTTTTCTTTGAGCTGTATTATTTTTGCTGACAGTTTATGTCCTTTCTCTTTAAATTTGTCTCGTTGGAGTTTAATCTGTTCAAACTGAGCTCGCATATGATCACGCTCTTTCTCCCAGAAATCTCGAAGCTCTTGGAATTTAACATCCTGTTGACGATAGAAAGCAACTTTGTGTTCCAAACGATGAATATTTTCTAAAAGTTGGTCACGCTCCAAATTTATGAAGTCTTGTGAAGATTTATCCTTAAAACAAAATCTAATTTGTAAGTAAGCAGTGATAAGCAGGGGTAAAGTTATTAAATATAATAAAGATCATTTGAGTCACCATAGGAACCATACATAAATACTATATAAATTTACAATTTTATAATTTATTTTTAGATATAACTATTTGACAATTCTCAATTATATATTAAACATATAAAAAAATTTGATCAGTATTTATTTTAAAAAAAGAGAAAGTTCTAAACAGAGTTCTAAAAATGTATTTATTAAATTCCTTTTCTTGTTTGGAATTGAACAGGACTTAATTGTAAGCTAGTAAAGACCAGAAAGTCATTGAACCAAAATCCAAAAAACTGAACCAAAGACCAGAAAGTCAATGAACCAAAGACCAGAAAATTGAACCAAAGACCAGAAAGTCATTGAATTTTGATATTGTTAAAATTTAGTCAAATAATTAATTTCACTTATTCCAGATTCAAAAGAACCTTGCTTAACTTGTCATTGGAAAGTACCTCATTGTTTTGAAAACTGGAGCATCAGATATAGTAACCCCTAAAAACTCAAATTTTGATTTTTTCAAGAAAAAAACTTTAGAAATGACACAATATTTGGAGTTTTGACATTAAAGATACTTTAAAAAGAAAAAACCTATTTTTAAATTTCCGTTGTCTGAAAATAGCTTAGTATAAAAAGATATACTACAAACTATGAGTTTTTATTATTATAACATTTATGTTTCTGAAGCTCTTATATTTTTTACTACTTTGAAACTCTCTCTTAATCCTGAACACTTAAATATGAACCTTGTTAAAAAAGACCCCCTGTGCAAAAACATTTAAATATGAAACTTGTTAAACAAGACCTCCTGCTTAAAAACATTTAAATATAAATCTTGTTAAACAAGACCCCCTGCGCAAAAAATCAGGTCAAGAGTGGTTTGTCCAGCAGATTAAAACAAAAGCAGAGATGTTAATTTATCTTTTCATATTAAAATTAGTTATGCCAAAGCTTGTTATGTTTTGACTTTCTACTTCTTTTTTGATTTTTCATTTAAATATTTATTTTATCACAAACATGGATTTATTAATAAAATATGTAAAAAATTAAAAATTAGCCTTGCAATAATATTATTTAAAAAAAGCACTAAAATGTTTCAAATTTATTTTGTGAAGAATATAAATTGATGATACAATTTATATTCTTAATGATTATAAGTAGTAATGTATGTCCCATAGATAACAACTACTATTAGTATATAAAATAATATAATAATGATAATAGTATAGAATAATAATAGTAATAATAATAATAATAATAATAATAATAATAATAATAATGTAAAATTATACAATAACAGTATATGGCAACAAATAATAGCAGCAAAAATAATTGTCACAAAAATGACTTCAAAGCTACCATACTAGCCAAAAACAATTCATAACCAACTGGGATACAGAAAAACAATTTTTTGAAAGTATTAAATCATTTGTACTTCTTTACCTTTCACAAGCAACGTTACTTTTTTTTCTCATAAAATAATTAACCAAAACAAAACAAAAAAAGAAAACAAAAAAAAAACAAAACAAAAAAAAAAAACAAAAAAAAAAGCAAGAGCCAACCAAAATTTAAAATAGTTGTCTTTAATTTTTCCCATAAAATGTAAACTTATTATTTTTTAAAAAAAAAAATTTAAATGACTCAAAAAAAAACTAAAACTTTAAAAAATATATTTTTTAAAAATTGATGCCCTAACCAAAAGCCTCAATTGTTGCATATTCTACCTTACACTCCTTATATGTTCTACCTATTTGTCAGTTGTTGTGTGTACACTCCTTGCATGTTTTACCTATTGGTCAGTTGTTGTGTGTACACTCCTTGCATGTTTTACCTATTTGTCAGTTGTTTAGTGTACACTTCTCGCATGTTTTACCTATTTGTCAGTTAATATAGAAGCATTTCTTGTTGCATCATTGCGTTTAAAAAGACAATTCGAAAGTTTCTTTAATCTTCAAGTTGTAGTCATAAATTATTTGTGACTATAATACATTTATATTTAGATCTAACACATACAATTATAATTCACCAACATTATAATAGAACATTCCCTCTTGGTAAATTAGCTCACAAATCTATAAAAAGTGTTACTTGCTGTTTAATATGTTCTTGAGAATTATTCCAGACTTGAACAACATCATTAATATTTTCCTTTAGCATCTCAGTTTTATCTTTTGGTCTATAAAGAACATCGTTGAGTGATTCATTTGAATTCTAAAAGTCTGGAGTATGTGAGATATGACCTGATTAGCAGTTTTGATGTCAAAAAACAAGGTATTTTGCTTTTGTACTACACCTGGTATCCATGACTGGTCACATTTTACTCAAATATTGTCACCCTCTTTGAATTTCTTGCTTACATCTTGTCTGCTTCCCTCTGTGTATTGACACTTGGAATGAAACAAGTTGAATTTCTTTTGAATTGCTGAGATGAACTTTTAGTTGGATGATATCATCTCATTGTACAGCAATACTGCCAGAGCAATTAAACAATGATTAAGAAGGTAACTGTTCTTTTAATCATTTTGTATATACATTTAACTATACCATTACCTTGAACGTAATGGGTCACTTGATATTCTAAATTAACATACCATTCTTCAGCAAAATTTAACATGTTGAACTAAAATTCTTTGTCCATTAGAAGACAAACTAGCAGTCCAAATATAGAGAACATTTCTTCAAGTTTCCCTACAACTTTATTAGCTGTATTGGTTACCATTTTATGCCATATTGTATGCCATGACAGACCACAGTCAATCATTGATAAGTACAGTTCTACGCTTACATGTGTAATGTCAATGGCAACCTGATTCAAACTTCCTTCTACCATTAATTGACCATGCTACCATTTTACAGAGTAAGGATCAATGGAGTTGCACTGGTTACAATTTGCTACTGCTGTTGAAGCCTCCTTACGTTAAACATTTGGTTATTTTGCAAGCAGTTGCAATATCTGAGTGACACTAAAATGACCAATTGAATGTATTTTTAATATATCTTTCTGTTCAAGTACTCCTGATGTACATATTATTCTGCTCCATTTTTTGGAGATTTGAGAAAGTCAATCGGCCAAATTTATTTCAGATGAAATCCATTGTACTATGATCTTGATATCCTATGCTACTTCCTTAATAAAATTCAATTATCCTTGTACTAACAATTGAGAAATTAGGAGTTTTCATTCAACATTCTTCCTTCAAAACTGCGTTTAACCATCCCACAGTACTCTTGCTATCACTGTATACTGTTTACTAAGTTTTGTCCTCGAAATATCATATAAAGTTCACTTATATTACTATGGTGTGTACTATTTGCCAGCCAAAGTTGTGCTGCATCTTCAACAATTACTCCTCCTATGAGCATAACTATACCAAGTCCTATGGAATATGCACCACACTAAAGCTCAGCTTTTTTATTCACTGGAGCAAGCCATTTCCCACCAACCGAGCCCTTTTTTTCACATGGTGAAGTAAGTCTTTCAGTTTTTCTTTACAATCTTTGCAAATAAAATCACTCCAAGGAATAATTTAGCAAAATGTTCAATCTATGAAGCTTGTAGTTTCAAACTTTATGCCACCAGGTAAGGTCTAACAAGTTTACCTACCTGGCTGAAAAACTGTAATTGTATGACTGCATTAAAAAGTCGAACTGTACCACATTGTCCCATTTCCATATAAGTTCCCCCATTTTATTTCTTTCAATACTTAATCCTAAAACATGTCCTTTTTCAATTTCTTCTAGAGGTTTACATTATAATCTAAATTTATACAGATACTTTGTAACATTTTATGCAGTTTCTACACTTTCATCAACAAATACATCATCAATGTTGTTATCATATGCTTTCTGCACGGATTTACATTGAGATTGTGGAAAATAATTGTTGGAATAATGGTTGGATTTACATTGAGATTGTGGAATTGTGGTATTATTGTTGGCATATTGATGAAGTATAAACATATTGATGAAAAATATTCTTGTAAAACCATTTCCAATTTATAAACCAATTTGTCGATGTGGACTTGAAAGTAGGCTTTTTTAAGATAAAATTTTTTTGCCTTTTAAAAATTTTCTCCAATGATGCAGTTTTGCTTGACAAATGCCTGCTTTTACTGTATTAGAATTTACAAATTTATTAAAAGTTCACAAGTCTACCACTGTACGTATCTTTTTGCCTTTGATTTCTTGCACAACACTAATTAACAGTATCAATACTTTAGGCACTCCCATTGCTAGTTTGTTATATGGTACAAAATTCAAAAATGATATTATTAATTTCAGAATCTTTATTGCAGTTCCATGATATTGTTTAACTTTTTCCTGTCGAACTTTGCCATGAATTGCTGAAGTTTTAATGACTTTATTTTGTTTTCTTTACTTCTTGTAAACACATACATTTCATTTTGTTCTTTTTACTTCTTGTTGTATTTAATAACACAACATTTTATTTCGTTTTCATTTATTCTTAGTTGTATTCAAGCTTCATAACATTTTCTCAATTTCTTCACGGTAACTGAGTCATCTTCTGGATATACAAGCAGGTATAGATCTTCTGGCACTAAATAGATCTGTGGTAGCAAACATGTTAAATGTTATTTAATATAGTGTTTATCATCGAATACAAGTGGCATAGCTGCCAAATAGCTTGTTGCATTGTCGTGTTTATAAGTTTAAAACAACTATTTGAGAGTTTATTTAATTATCAAACAGTGATCATAAACTAATGTGTGACTAATGTGTGTACAGGATTATTTTTTTCTAATAAAAAATAAAAATAATAAACAATATTCTAGTTTATTTAGTTAAGGGTTTTTTTTTTTTTTAAAAAAAAACAATAAAAATTAATTAATAATTTCTTAATTAATAGGTTATGTAAAAAAAAGTTTTTACATAAAGCAAAAAAATATTTTATTTTGTCATCTTTAAACACAAAGAGTTGTTAAAAGCCATTTTTACCACAAACAGTAATCATATATATATATATATATATATATATATATATATATATATATATATATATATATATATATATATATATATATATATATATATATATATATATATATATATAATTAATTTTTAAAATAATATTTTCAAATATATAACTCACAGCATTGATTTCATAAGAATTTTTGTTCATCTTTTCTTTAAGTTCTTCAGCCAACCTATCAATTTCACTTTTTTTCTTAATACTTTCTTGCTCTGTATTCTCTTGATGTTTTCGTTTTTCCAAAAGTAGGTTATTCTCTTTTTCTAATTCTAAAATTAATTTTTCTAACTCAGCTTCTTTCTCATTTAATAAATTTTCACGCAAAGACAAAGCATTATTCTTTGTACTCCATTCTTTTTCAAGAGCCCCTGAAACTAGATTATATTTATCTTCTGATTTACGAAGTTGGCGGATTATATCTTCAAGTTTTCTTACCTCTGATTCATTTGAAATTTTTATTTTATCAAATTCATTTCTTTGCTGATGTAATTCAACATACGATTTTTTTATTTCAGCATTTTTTACTGACAAAATGCTTTCACTTTCAGTTAATTTATTTTTGTACTTTTGTAGCTCAAGGTAAGACTTTTCCAGTTCAGCCTCTTTTTCAGACAACACACTTTCACTTTTAGTTAATTTATTTTTGTACTTTTGTAGCTCAAGGTAAGACTTTTCCAGTTCAGCCTCTTTTTCAGACAACACACTTTCACTTTCAGTTAATTTATTTTTGTACTTTTGTAGCTCAAGGTAAGACTTTTCCAGTTCAGCCTCTTTTTCAGACAACACACTTTCACTTTTAGTTAATTTATTTTTGTACTTTTGTAGCTCAAGGTAAGACTTTTCCAGTTCAGCCTCTTTTTCAGACAACACACTTTCACTTTCAGTTAATTTATTCTTTAATAACTCAATATGCTTTTCATGTGTATTTAATGTAAATACATTACTTTCTAGTTGACTACTTAAATCAACATTTGCTTTTTCAAGTACAAGACATTTATCCTTTTCAAGAGCAGATAAAGCTAATCTAAAATATTCTTCAGACTTACGTAGCTGAGTGATTTCATCATTGAGTTTTCTGACTTCAAATTCATTTAGTTTAATTATTTTATCAAACTTAATGTTGTTTTGAGATGACTCGATATATGACTTTTCCAGCTGAGCTTCTTTTACAGATAGTATACTTTCATTTTCAGATAACTTTTTTTTGAGGAGGTCAATTTTTTTTTCATATGTATTTAGTGTAGTTGAACCTCTTTCCAATTGTTCCTGTAAGTTGATGTTTATTTTTTCAAGAGATAAAATTTTATCTTTTAGCAAATTGTCAGTGTAATCATCCTTTATCAACTTTGGATTATTAAAATTACCACTATCGTTTTGAAGAGACTCTGATAAATCATTGGATTTTTGAAAAGATTTTCTATGATCAGAATTTTGTAACAACTTTGTTTCTAACTCACAACTTTGCTTTTCTAATTCTGCAATTTTTAGCTTTTGAGTCTGGACAAGCTTTTCAGAGTTGAACCTGTTCTCGCGTTGATTGTTGAGTTCTGTTTCAAAAGCTTGAACTTTTAACTTTTCATTTTCAAGTAAGACTTTAAGATTTGCTAACTTTTCTTCGCATAAGGCTCTTTTTTCCATTTCATTGTCAAGCATTTTTTCCAGCTCATTTACAGAGCAACTATCTTGTTCTAAAAGATTGTTGAGACTTTCGCGTTCACTCTTCACAAGATCATGCAGAGATACAACATTACTTTCAGCATCTTCTAAAAGCTTTCTTAAGTGGTTTGACTTAGCAACCTCTTCCTCCAAAAGCAATCTATGTAAAAATCATAAACCCAAATCATAAAAATGTATCAGAAATAATATTTCTGAACTATTAAGATAAAAACTTACGTACCTGGCTTCATTGTTACTCTGTTGATATTGAAGAAGTTGTGTTGTTAGCACTTTAAGTGTATCAAACTTGTCTGAATTTTCCAAGCTAAGTTGTTTTTTTGCAAGTTTTTCTGCTTCAAGGTTGCTATTTAAGTAATCTAGCTGAGTATTTAACCGGGTGATTTCACATTTTAATTCATCAATTTGTTTATTAAGAAGAACAAAACTGTTATCTGCACTTGTAACAGAGCGTAGTCTCTTTACTTCATCAACAAGCATCTCGCGATCTTTAGAAAGAAGTGTTGTCAATAGCGGAGAAATCTGAAAAAGAATGATTTAAATTATATATAATTTATTCAAATTAATTAATATATTGAATAATTTATTTTTGAAAAAAATAAAATAAAATAAATAATAAAAAAAAAAGTAAAATAAGTTACCTCATTGTCAAATTGTTTTTCTTTATCTTTGCCATTTATTTTGCATTCGACAGAAATAGCTTCTTGTTCTTTTTCAAACAAATCAGCTAATGCATTAACTAACTCTAGCCTGCGATCACCATCATACTTTCCAGATGCTGCCTGAAAACAATTAAAACAATAGTAGCATAAAAAGTGACTTTATTAAAGACCTAAAAGAATAAACAACATACATTTTTTGAACTGACTTTAACAACTAAATCTTTTAAACTGTTAATAACAGCGAGTAAACAATTTTTCTCGATCAACCAGGCATTTTGAAGATGTTGCATATTTTGTGAAGATAGTGCCTCATTTAACTCAGGAATACTCATTACCAAATTAAGAACCTCCTCAGCTTCATTTTGAATGTCATTTACCAACAACTTAATTTAAAAATTGATTATTAAAAAAAAATAATTTTGAAATACATTAAACAAAATTTAGTAAATAAAAAATTAAATGAAATAAAATTTACAATATAATGGTGTAATTGAAACAATGAAAAAAAAAGGCAAAAATGTACTATAATACCGTAGTAATGTACCTTAACATCTTTATCAGTAAGATTTTTAATTGTTTCATCTTGAAGTTGTTGTTGGTGCTTTAAAAGATTCATTAACCTTTGATGAACTGTTTTGTTCACCATCTGATTATCTGTACATTCATGCCAAAAACTGTCTAAAAATGTGTAGTTTATTAAATTTATAGTTAATGCCATCAACATTAATCAACATTAATTTGTTTTTTTGTTTTTTGATTAAATTTTAACTAAAACTCAAACTTTTGATTAAAATTAAAAAAATCTTTTGATTAAGCTAAAATCGAGTGAAAAGACAATAATCAACTTCTGAAATAAGTATACTAAAATGAACCGAGTACAATTATTCCATTAAAACGAAGGAGAAACAATATACAAAGACCTTACCATTTTTTGTTTCATTAACCAACTGAGAATTTGAAAATAGATTTTGCATCTCAAAAACCTATGCAATTTAAAAAAATAATAACTTAAATAAAAAAAAGTAATCGTTATAATATTATTAATAATTATTATTTATTAATATTTTTTATTTTTGAAGAAAAATTATTTAGCTTACTGTTATTAGCTAGCTGTACTAAAAAAAATTAAAAAAAACCTATAACATATTTAGTTTTTACAGCTTTTATGTAACTACATACAAGGACCAGTCCTTAGTTATGCCCTTAGCAACAACAGTTTTTTACCTCGATATTTACCTTAAAAAACAACAAAATTTCTATCAAAACTAAAAATGCGCAATTGTTAAAGGTCATTAACTGAACGAACATTGTAAAAATTGGCAATTTTTTGAAGCAAATTTAGTGCATGCTGTTTAATTTTGACGTTAACAACCTTTTTTAGATTTTACCTCAAGTTTTATAAATAATGAGAGCTTCAAGAAATAACATTAAAGTATCTAATAAGCAAATTTTTGGACAAAAAAATAAAAGATTTTTTTAAAGAAAATCATTAAACGATTGCAGCAGAAAGACAACAGAAAAGCAGTTTGAATATTGCTTCAGCTTCAAGTTGTGCAAGTGCAAGAAAATTACTGCCACTGATTAATGAAAACTAAGTTGTAAATGACACTGTGAAAAAAGATTGTTTCATACTTATCAATTTTTCAATTTTAATTGATATTGTGGAAAGTGCTAGATGTCCAGATTGTTACAGTCTTGTTTCCCTTGTTGATAATCTTTCTAAGTGCATGAGTTTTGACCATCACCTTGAAGTCAATTGTAGTTTATGTGAATGGAAAAAAAACTTATATTCTTCTAAGCAGAGTAGTAAATTGAACTGGTATACAGTTGAGGATAAGAAAACATTTGAAGCAAACAAGAATGATAATTGGATTAAGAGAAATAGGTAGATGGTATTAATCTATGAAAAACTTTAGCAACTGTATGAATTTACACTGTTTGACAGCTACTCCATTTAGAAAACTAAATATAGAAATATCAAAAGTTTACAATAAAACTGCTAAAGAAAGTATGAAATGTGCCATAATGGAAATGAAAGATAACCATACTGATAAAAATAAACCAATAATGAAGCATGTTATGATTGATGGTGCATGGCAACAATGCAGCCATACCTACCTTAATGGATTTGTAAGTGCAATTGCGGGTGATAATTGCGTTGATTATGAAGCCATCTCAAAATTTTGCATGGGCTGTAGAATATGGAAAAATAAAAAAGCTTCACCACAATACAATGTTTGAAAAGCTTAACATGCCTGTCATATAAATTGTAAACAATCTTCTGGGTCAATGGAAGCAGCTGGGGCTTTGAAACAATTTGCATGTTCAATTAAAAATAATATTATTTATACTCATTAACTTGGAAACAAAGAAAGCTCATCTCTTAAAGAAGTAATAAAATCTGATCCCTATAAATACTATGAAATAACTCCTAAAAAGTTGTTTCACATGTACAAAAAATAATTGGTACACAGCTACAAAATTTATTCAAAAGTTACAAATTAACGCCGACTCCACTAGGTGAAAAAAATATACTGACAGAAAATGCGATTAATAGTATGCAAAATTATTACGGTTTAGCTATACAAATAACATTTATGCCATGAAAAAAGGCTATTTTATTCCACTGTACTGGATATCCAAATCAAGAGTTTTGTCACTGTTTTTGCCCAAGAACTGAAACTAGTTGGTGTCAATATCAATATGATAAATTACATAATACTTCAAAGTATAAAGAACATATTAATTTACCATTATGGATTAGAAACCTTTTAAAACCTTTTAATCTTGTGAATGTTGATTGCATTGAATTCACCAAGCAAAAACTTAAAGATGATTCAAAGTTTGGTGAAGCAATAAAACCATTTGAAGAGCATGATGTCAAAATTAATTTTTAAACAGTTCTATATACTGTAATCTGGTTTTTAAAATGTATTTATTTAAAATAGTTCGATTTCAATCCGCAAATTTATTTCATAAAATAAAATAGTATTGTGTACAAAAAATTATTGATTAAATATTTAAAAGTTAATACTTATATCAGAAAATTATTGATAAAATATTTAAAAGTTAATATTTGTATTAAAGTAGTAAATGAAACATATTTTTTTAAACGGATTTCTAAAATATTTTTTATTGTTTTATTATAAAACAATATATATCTTAATTATTTTAGTTATGAATTTAGGTATTCTAGCTTCACTTTTAAAGAAATTTTTCTAACATGGGGATTAATTATTTAGTGGTCTTGATGTAATGCTAAAAATAATTTGCCCAGTTTCTTGTCAGGTCAGGTTATCCTGCTACTGGTAAGGCTAGGAAAAGCCAACTCTGACTTAAAACACCCCCTGCCTTGGGGCTCTTGGTTGAGTAAAGGTTAGAGATGGCGTCTTCTGTTGAGTCTTATCTCTTGCAAAGTTCACCAGACCTACTTGCTCTTTGTGAGACTAATTTGAGTTCAGCTGTTTTATCTTGTGATGTTAGTGTTAATGGTTATCTTCCTTTAATTCGTAAAGACTCCATTAGTCACATGCTTGGTCTGGACAACCCAAATCATTTACCTTCTCTACTCAACTTATGTCTTGTTTCTGATCCTAGTAAGTGCTCAGTTTCTCCACATTCACCTTTAGGTGCTTCTGATTAGAGTTTGATTTCTCTAAAACTATTATCTCATTCTTCTTCATCATCTGAATCCCCCTACCATCATACCTCTTACAACTTTCAGTGATTTTCTTTGTGATGGCCTTTGGGTAGAAATCTTTTGATTTCATGGATTCAGGCTGGCATGGAATCTTTTATTTTATGGTCTTCTCCACAAGCTTTCTTCTTTCAGTGTATCTGGTAACATCTTTAAGATTACTGAGTCCTTCCTTTCTAATCCTAGTATAAAAGCTGTTCTCAATGGACAGCACTCTTCTTCATTTCCTGTAACTTCAGGAGTTCCACAAGGTTCTATCCTTGACCCTATACTTTTTTTAAGTTACATTAAAGGTATCCCAAACTGCCGAGACAAGTTGTGATCATATTAAAGAAAATGTTTAAAAAAAAACATTCAGGCTAAAAGTTTATGATTAAAACTAAATAATGAATGCATACGAACAAAATTAAAATTATCGTTTTAGTCGAAGCTTGCCTTCTCTATTTTTTTTTTGGTTCTTGGGGTCTGTATAATGTTAGCCGCAATCTGCAGACTTTTTTCTTTCATGCATGTTTAATTCATAACAGTTTCAGTATATGACGTCATCGCAATATCTTTAAAAAATAGCGTTTTTTTTTTTCTCAAAGATGTTTATCTACTACAATCAGAAAATCAAATATTTGTATAATTTTTTTACTAAATCACAAAAAATATTTGTGATTTAGTATAAAATTATACAAATATATATATATATATATATATATATATATATATATATATATATTTTTATATTTATAATTTTTTTTTACTTGCTTTATTATTACTTTGTTTTAAAAGCCAGCCAAAGTCATGACACAATTATACATATTTTGTGATTATTAGAGTTCGCAGGCAGAGAAAAAATAAAGGCAGTTTGATGCGGTTTCTCATTTTATATTTAGTTTATATGGTTTAATAGAGTTGTTTGTTTTATGTTGAATTTACATTTAGTTATGGTTTAACTCTTTCTCTTTCAAAGCCGCTCCAGAAGCCTCTGGTAGCGGCTTTTGAGTATGCTTTACAATTTATCTTGTTTTGTACATAAATTTCCATTCTAGACACACAGAATTTGTTTGCTCTGAAGGTTTAATTAATTTTCTACACAATCGAGAAAAAAAAGAGCTATATTATGTAATTATAAAAAAGTTATCACAAAGTTAAAAAATCTTGAATAATTCTTCATAAAAAAAAACTTGAAGAAGTATTTTTTTAAATTCACTTATAAAATAAAACACTGTTAACACTGTAAAACTTGAAAAAGTGTTAAGTATTTAGTTAAGTAATTACCAAAGTATTTTGAAGAAAAAATATTCTTTTTATTCATTAAATGAGGTTTGTTTTGGACTTAATGTTTTAGTTACTACTTATAAAAACAAATGGTTTTAAGCACTTTGCACTTCTTATTGTTTAATGATGCGTGTTAAAAACTTTTATTCTGTATCGCTCTCCTTCATTTCAAGACTGCACTCTTCTTGATGTTATTCCTGATCAAAATGACCAAGCCCTCTCTCCTTATTCATCAGCCAATGTTATTATCGAATTTTAATTTAATTGTCAATGTTATGCTATTCAAATTTTATTCAAAAAAATGTGCGGTTGCTACAAAAAGATTTATGTTTGGCTGGTTGCAAACAAGTTAATGCAATTCTTCATTTTTATATTTATATTATAACTATTTTTTGTATATTTTAGTACAAATATTTGTTTTAACTTTAATTTAGTTTGATTTGTATGGTTACTAGTGAAATAATTTGTTTAATATTTATTTTCTACTTAGTTCAGTTTATATGTTTTATTCAAGTCACTTGTTTATTATTCAGTTTATACTTTAAATTAATTTATACGCTTTAGTAAAATTAATCTTTTAGTATCTAGCCTATAGTTACTTTAAACCAGTACGTTTTACTGTAAATATTCGCTATATATTAAATTTTTATTTTTATAAATTTAACTTTTAACTACATCATAAACTTTTTTTAGGGATTTAGTAAAAAGTTATACAATTAACATGATTTGGTGATTGTGGCAAAAAAAACAAAAAAAAAACAACATCTTGAAATAAAAAATTTATACGATGACGTCATATACCAAAACTGTTATGAATTAAACACGCATGGAATAAATTATAAAGTCTACAGATTGCGGCTAACATTATACAGACTCCAAGAACCAAATAAAAATGGAGACGGCAAGCTTCGACTAAAACGTGAATTTTAAAATTAATATTGTGCATTCATTATTTAGTTTTAATCAAAAAAATTTAGCCCAAATGTTTTTTTTAAACAGTTTCTTTAACATGAACACTAC